AACACAGCTAACAACACAAACAATTATAACCTAAGCGGCTCGGAATGAGATAGATTCGTTTGTTTTATGCTTTCTTGCAACTACCAACCACTTAAAGATGAGCTGATTCTAAAGGCAATTAACTACAGTGGATCTCAGTGGATAACAGGCCTAATGCAACCAGCTTTGGGTTGTAGTTGAACATGGCATGTGATCTAAGAAGACGAGATCGATGGATACAACCACAATGAACGTTGTTGCATTGGACGGATACTTCGAATCACTCCAGTCATTAATGAAACCGAGAAGTAGTGATGGCAACCGGGCGGCAATCGGTCGACGAATTTTAGTCGAAGTTTCAAGATTCGGAATAATGAAAGGTCGATTGCGTTGGATTATTGCCGCACTGAAGTATCGTTCGGATGCCGTGACTATGGAGAAGCGAGCGATTAAAGCTACGTTACTGATAATTTACCTCAGCGAATGCAACTGATTCGTAGGACAGTTGATAGATGTTCTTGATCGTATCATTCATGGGTGATGCATCCGCTGTACTCTGATCCATGGTATCAGTAAGTTCGCCAGATCTTTCTATGGCCTGCTTGACCATTCCTCCAATTTTTCGGAAAAAGGCATCCAAATCATCCCAGCCTTTTTGATAGCTTTCGAGCACTTTCAAAACTAAAAAATTTCATTCGATGGGAGCGAAATAATTGAAACTCCAGGTTCGCTGCAGGAATCTTGTCCGAATCATCCCAATTTCCAATGGAGACTATGCCAATATCCAATTGTCTCAGAAGTTTGCAGACATAAGAACGAAATGTGCGAGGGCAAGTTCTTTTGCGTCTGACTTTGAAGCTGCTCTATCAACTGGTTTCGCAGGGTTGCATGGAAAGGGAATTTCATCGATTGCATTATATTTCCAATTACAAAGCATTTGTGATATGTGGACCCAAGCAAAGCGCAGCGAAAAGGAAGAATACCCTTAGTTGATGAAATTTTCAGCATTCCAAATTTAGTCAGCGGGAAGCTCCTGGATGGTGCCCTGCCCATTCTGTTGGGTCGGCGCAATGTAAAAATAAAGAAGAGTGATACACATGCAAAAACTTACCGTCGCTTAAAAGTGTTTTGATTTGATCATAGTCTATCTTCTCCTCGCCTGTGTTTTCTAAGCTGGCGAGAATTACGCGATTTTCGGTTTGTTGATTGTGAAGTTTCGTTTCCTCATCGAAAAGTTGTTGATGTTCCTTCTGTGCTTTTGTCAGTTTTTCTTTGACTTCCGCCAACTGAAGAGTTTTGTTAATTTTACCCTATATAAGAATGTTTGGCTGGTATGAACCGAATCCACGGTCTCGACTTTCAGCTGAGCAAAACTTCCTTTCGTCTTATGATGTGTTTCTGATTTTGTCTCGTAGTCATTTTAACGCTGATAGTTGGTGATATTACTCGACATTAAAAGGATCGTGTGAGCCAACAATTCGCGTACATTGTGCACTTTCTTGTCGCGCTGCTTACTGCTTACTTTAGATTGACTGCTTACTTTAGATTCAGGTTGTGGCCCTAGGACGTCCTTTGGAGGACGTGGAAATACCTTCTTTTTAAAGGCTGGCGTGAAAACTTGCGATTTACTCTTGAAAGGAGTCTTAAAGCGGTCCATATAAAGACATGATGACCGTTGAGATAAAAGTTTACTGAAAACTGTATAATGAAAGCAGAGGAATGTTTGCGCAATATCGAATTGCTATAAAATCACGATGTGTCGAAGGAAGACGTCATAAAAAGATGTGAATCGAGAGAGGAGAGTAGGTAAACGGCCGCTGGTGAAGTGGCCTAATAAAGCTCGTTGAGAATCCGATGAGCTCAGAGGGCGTGTATTCGTTTCCGATTCGGCTCAAAATCCTTGTTAAATTTCCACTTTGCTCAGATAGATATTCCAGAAGTGGAGGGAAGATAAGAAGGACTCAGTTTCGATACCGTCATGTTATCTTTAATAAACGATCAGAAGTTTCCACTCTTGTAATGCTCCGTGAATTTGAAAATCACTAGAGAGTCTATGATTCATTAATTGACAAACAAAACTAAAAGAAAGAAAAAGTGGTTTAGCAGTTCGGCTGGATAGTTGTTGAAATACAAATTTAAGTTGAATTCAGTGAACGACCGACCGTTTTGAATTTATTGGTAACAACTAACTTTCTGCAAAGCTACCATTTTCGAATACGTGCTAGATTTGCTGCTAGGAAATATTCCGACGTAACGGGTTGCTTTTTCAAAAAGTCCACCGGAACTTGAAGCATCGATAGGTTGTTCCATATTCGCTATCGCCTGAATGAATGAGAATAGACGAATGCGACAGTTTGATTTCATAGATGTTGTCGCCTTACCGGTAAAAAGGCATTAATATAAATTTTGCAATGAGATATTTCTTAATCGATGGAATAACATCTAAATGTGAACAAATGGGAATGTTCGAGAAGGAACGATTGCTCACAGCAAAATCAGTAGTCACCACAAAGTCGTCGAATGCAGGTGGAAAGACCGTTATTAGCTAAGCGATTAAAACGCAGCGAAGACGAGCCAAACGGTATCAGCTTCATTCTTAATCGTCTTCTTCAATCTACCACGGAACTACGTCGTCTCTAGGGGCCACAATTGACCGCAACAATTCCAGTGCTCTAATTAGTGCAAGTAGTACCAGAACATTAATTATTCACATCGAATCAACATTTCTGTTCCTATCCTACTGTTCTGTATATTCCGTATTTGTGTACCCC